CCAAACTACTCAGGCTTCAAACCACCTGTCAGCCTGGCCTCTTTCCCTGTTCGGTGCTCCAACCATAGCGTTGTCCTTTATTCCTGACTAAGCCAGCCTCCTGCCCACCTCTGTGCCTTGGACTTGCTGTTCCTCTGTGTGAGATGCCTTTCCTTTCCATCTCTGCCTAACGCACTTCTCTCTGTTCTTCAGCACAAGCTCAAGGGCAACTCCTCTGTAACGTCTTCCCTGGAAGCGGCGAGTCTCCTTCTCCTTCGTGCACTCATAGTCTCCTGTGCATGGCTCCAGTGGCACTGATGCTCACTTACATTGCAATTTCTTGTTTACTGGGTCTACCTGCTAGGCTGAGACTCCTTGTGGGCAAAATGCCTATCCTTTGTGCCCAGTACAGTGGGCAGAAGCCTGATGCAACCGACCCCCGAGGCGCTACTCCAGTCCTCTGCTTCCCCAAGTCCATCTGTCACTGTTACCTCCCAGTCCTTGCTGACTGTGTATCCTGGGCTCCCTCTTTCTCCACCACCCTCTTCTACAGATTGAGTATCCCTTATCCAGAATGCTTGGGACCAGAAGTTTTCAGATTTCAGAATATTTGCCTTATATTTGCTGATTCAGCATCCCTAATCCAGAAATCTGAAATCCAAAAAACCCCAACAAGCATTTCCTTTGTATGTGTCATGCCGGCATGCAAAAAGTTTCGACTTTGGAGCATTTCGGATTTCTGGATTAGGAATACTCTATCTGTGACATTAGGTCAGTTTATTCTTGCATTTTTCTAAGTAGGTGATCAAATCTTTTGCAAATAAAGAATATTTATCTTTTCCTTTCCAACATTTATACTTCTTAATCGTGCATATTTCATTGCCTAGGACCTTCAGGCAAAGATGAATAAAAGAAATGATAGTAGACTGGCCGGGTGCAGTGGCTCATGCCTCTAATCCCAGCACTTCGAGAGGCCAAGGAGGGAAGATGGCTAGAGTCCAGGAGTTTGAGACCAGACTGGCCAATATGGTGAAACCACACCTTGAAAAAAAAACCGACACAAATTAGCCAGGCGTGGTGGCTGTGCCTGTGGTCCCAGCTACTCTGGAGGTTAAGGTGGGAGGACTGCTTGAGCCTGGCAGGCAGATGTTGTAATGGGCCAACATCATGTCACTCCATTGCAGTCTGGATGACAGAATGAGACCCCGTCTCAAATAAATGAATAAATAAATAAAAAGAAAAGAAATGATAGTGGGCACATTTGTCTTTTTCTGACCTTCCTGGAAATTCTCATGTTTCACCATACTCAATGGTGTGCTGAGATGGCTCACACTGGCTCCTAAGAGCTAACAGCTAACTTTTCAGGACTTGGTGAGATAGTTGTTAAACTGTGGATGGCTGGAGATTGGCCATGGGAGGAGCAATGACACCACAGAAATCGAAAAACACTGCAAATGAGAGCATCCCCCAGCCTGTTAAGCATTTACCAGCACACCACTGTCATGAGGCTTCTTCATTTAATATCCCAACTGCCATCAGAGAGAGGCCAACAAAGTCTGAGCTAGGAGGGTAATACAGTAATGTACACATTATATGCAAACAATTACAAATGAGGGTAAAGAGAAAACACAGGTAAACTTGATCATAACTGGCAAAAATGACCTGTGAATACTGATAAGAATTGGAAGAGAGGCCGGGCGCGGTGGCTCAAGCCTGTAATCCCAGCACTTTGGGAGGCCGAGGCGGGTGGATCACAAGGTCAAGAGATCAAGACCATCCTGGTCAACATGGCGAAACCCCGTCTCTACTAAAACTACAAAAAATTAGCTGGGCATGGTGGTGCGTGCCTGTAATCCCAGCTACTCAGGAGGCTGAGGCAGGAGAATTGCCTGAACCCGG